AAATGAATAGTACAGGATGGCCGAGTGACTCTATTCGTCGGCTGGAACAGCAGGTAAAAGTAAGAAAACCTAGCATCAATGACAGGAGCAGGCACTAATCAATATCCTAACAGAAAGCAATAATGCAGCTGACATAATAAAGCAATCCCACTGGGAGCCATGGGGAGTGTTGCTAGTGTCCTGCTGTAAGGAAGCCCACGGAACTCGGCTCACATGCGCCAAGACGAAGGCCCTTCCAAGCTGACTTTCTCACCACGTCGCGGGCACATTTATTTTATTTGAAAGAAGAATGGTCCTGTTGCCAAGCCATCAGATGGTAAAAAGAGATATATTTGATGGATAATTTCTTAAAGAGTCTGCCGCGGACTCGCAGAAAACATTTCTCATGAAAATGCCCGTGGTACACAGACTTCACATCGAGTGATATGGAGGTGTAGTTGACCAAGTGCGGAGTGCCAGGGAGAGCCTAGAGGTGAATTAGGAGTTTGGCCAGAGAGGGGGAGGCCATTATTTTTAACAATAACAAACAACAACAAAAATTGCCACTTGATTGGGATCGCTCATGTACTATCAACCTGTTCTTGTGAATCAGACTGACAGCCCTTTAATATGAAATAAATCAAGCAGGAGAAGCAGTGTCTGGAAGAACATACAGACTGAGGGCTGACTGACAGAACCCCCATGTGCCTTTGCAGCAGCTAACTTGAAAGGATGTCAGGTGCTCTGAAGGCCTGGGATGTACTTAGAACCTGCAGAATGCCAACGGAATGTGCTTGCTCCGGGCTCTGGCTGGAGCCCTCCTGTGCACTGCCGAGATCAGGAGCAGGCAGACTCACGAGGATGAATCCACTAGAATGGCCCTTCTGGTCTCCCTGGGGACCGCAGAGGGGAAAGAGGCACTATGCCCCAATGTGTGGTTTTTTTTCTTACTCAGTTAGCACATCAGATCCTCCTGAGTCAGTGCACACAGACCAAGGCATTCGAGACAGTCACCTCTCACCAAGGGAACAGGCTAGTCACGAGCCATGACACTGTTCCAGGAGGTATGTGGTCAGTGGACAGCCCTGTCAAGCCTTCCCAGCTCACGCTAGCCTGTGAGATAACTTTGGTTAGCTGTCCTCTTTGATTTCCTAAACTGCTGTCCACAGTGATTCTGCAAAGTAAACACCAGGACCAATCAGTCAGGAGACAACCAAAGCCTGTTTCAACATCTCCTTCTACACAGGGAAGTAAATAACCTGCTGTGACGGCGGGGGAGTCAGGGAGAAGCAAGCAAGAGAAACCCAAAAAACAGGGCAGCAGGTAGGCACGGGCAAGCTCACTGTGTACAAAGTGTGTCTTCACTCTTGAGTTCTTCGCTGCCCTTGTCTGCACTCTTGATCCCGTCTGCCTACCCAGCCCTCGTGACTGCCAGCATTTAATCAAGAACTCACTCCTACCATCCTGGTCCTTCAGCAAGAGGGGCTGAGCATCGAGAAAGTATCCATCACCATCATAGATGCCAGAGCTGCAGTGACACCTCCATCAGGCAAAGCTGCTGCCCTTGTGGAATTTACATACAATAAAGAGACAAGATGCTCTCGCAAACAAGGTAAGTGCCCATCAAGATAAATGTTGCCCAGCCAAGGAACTTAATCTTGCATGTGAAACTTCCACAGTCAGGAGGGCTCTTTTCCCGGGTGTGAGCAAAGACAGACTGTGAACTGATGCCTAAAATGTACCAAGAATCCACCCATGAGGTAAATGGGAGGCAGGCACTCAAGTTCACAAACCTAGAGTTCAAGGGCACTGAGTCCAGGGAGCCCATTTAGGGCTGAGAATCCAAAGCCTGTATGGCTAGGCTGGAGGGAAGGTCCAGCCAGACTGACTGGAGGAAAGGGCACAGCTGTCATATGGCCTCTGGCTCTGGAGCCCTCTACCTAATGACTCCTGACCTGTGTAATCTTGGGCAGCTAAGCCCCGCCCCAGTCCTCTCCCACTATGCTGGTAGCACCAGCTTCAGAGCACCTGTCTCTGGGCGCTATTATAAAGATGCCGAGAGCTGAAACAGTGTTTGCAGACTGTACTACACTGTGCTGGGCACACAGTCAGCATTCGGGAACCTTTCGCTGCTACTAGACTTTTCAAAGACATGGGTTCATTTTCAAATTGGGATGGGAGTATTAAACCAACTTCTGGAGCCCATTCTGAGCTGGCATGCCTGAGTTCTCTGTGATGTCCGGCCACCAAAAGCATTTATAAATTATAAAGAAATGACTTTCCCAGCAATGAATCACCAGCATAAGGTTGTCAATATCCATCATTGCAACATTATGACACGTGGCATCATGCAATCTGAATGCGCAGTAGAGAGGAACCCATTGCAGCTGACCTTACTCAAGTCAAATACGCTGGATCAATTGAAAGTCTGTGGGAGCTTTGCCTGAATAAGGGTGAAGACCAATTAGTGAAAGGCATAATAAGACAAAGAGACATTTCTAAAGATATTATATCTTCTAGCGATTTTTTACAGTTAAAAATATATTGAGGAGGTAGATGCTTCTGTAACTCAGGAGGCACATTACTCAGAAAGATTTGCTATCTGGCCTGCTATCTCAAGAGACTCTATCTGCATTTTTGACCGCCTTAAGAACAAGGGAAATGGTTAATGTGGACGTAAAACTGAAGGGCCCCTGACTGGGTTGTCTGTGCCTGCTACAGCCAAATGGCAGGAAATCCGTGGGATGTATTCTACAGCGCTGACGTCCCCAGCTTGCGAACTCACCTGTGCCTAGGAGATATAATTGGCTTAAATCAGGCTCACACTTATACTGTTAAACACTTAGCTATTCCCGGGCTGTGAGGCAGCTCGGTCAGCAGAGTGTTTGTCTAACACACATGAGGCCTGGGTACAGTCCCCACAACCACATAAAGAATGTCTGTAATACCAGTGCTAAGAAGGCAAAAGCAGGAGAACCATAAGTTCAAGGTTTCCTGCGGCTGCATAGGGACTTTGAGGCCAGCCTGGGATACACAGGCCCTGTCTCAAAAAAAAGCTGTAGATCAGCAGAGGTTCTCAACCTGTGGGTCGAGACCCCTTTGGGGTCCTATATCAGATATCCTGCATTTCAGATATTTACATTACAATTCACAACAATAGAAAAATTATAATGACGAAGTAGCAACAAAATAATTTTATGGTTGTCGTGGAGAGTGGTCACCACAGCACAAGGAACTGTATTTAAGGATTGCAGCATTAGGAAGGTTGAGAGGCACTGCTGTAGATTGCTTGCTGGCCTCCTTCCTTTGTCTTCCCTCGAAGCATCAGTAAATAGCCAAAGGAAGATAGAATAGCCATATCTTCCATCTCCCCAGTCTTCCAGCTGACCTCAAGGCTATGTATGACTCCAACAAAATCATTTGAGTTTGCAAACATCTTGATCAGAAGACTTTCATAAAAATATTTTCTCCATAGAGACAGAGACCCACACTGGAGCACTGGACTGAGCTCCCAAGGTCCCAATGAGGAGCAGATGGAGGGAGAACACGAGCAAGGATGTCAGGACCACGGAGGGTGCACCCACCCACTGAGTCAGTGGGGCTGATCTATTGGGAGCTCACCAAGGCCAGCTGGACTGTGACTGAAAAAGCATGGGATAAAACCGGACTCTCTGATCATGGTGAACAATGAGGACTGATGAGAAGCCAAGGTCAATGGCAAGGGGTTCTGATCCTACTTCATGTTCCGGCTTGGTGGGAGCCTAGCCAGTTTGGATGTTCACCTTCCTAGACATGGACGGAGGGGGGAGGACCTTGGACTTTCCACAGGGCAGGGAACCATGACTGCTCTTTGGATTAGAGAGGGAGGGGGAGAGGAGTGGGGGGAGGGGCGAAGAGTGGGGGGAGGGGGAGGGAAATGGAAGGCTGGGAGGAGGCGGAAACTTTTTTTTTCTTATTCTCAATAATAAAAAAATATATATTTTCTCCATCCAACCTGTTCAGTCTGTATAATGATGCTACCTATGTATGTTTTCAGGGCTGACCATTTTGGCACTAGACAGTCAGTGTATTCTTCCCTAGGGAAGACCTCCTCTCCTGTTCCCGGCTTTCTTCAGTTGCGTAGGTTGAAGCCTTGTGGGCTTTTCTCCATCCAGTTCCGCATGTCCATCAATGTCATCCTTGTTCAGCTCACGATTGATCGGCCACACTGCTGAGACTTTAGTGGTATAGTTTCTGATGTTATTGGGAGACACATCTCACAGCAAAGTCCCTGATCTTATGCCTCTTAGAATCTGTCTGCCCCCTCTTCTACAGTGTTCCCTGAGCCTTAGATGCAGGAGTGTTTTGTAGATGTATCCATTGGTATGTGGCCCCACAAATCTGCATTTTGATTGGCTATGGTATTCTGTAGTATCTTTTGCAAAGAGAAGTTTTCTTGACGAGGGGTGAAGACTACACTTATAAGTGTATAAGGACAAATGTCTATAGATTGTCCTGAATCTATGTTGGCTTCATAAATTAGAATTGCAGCGTCTCCTCCAATAACCATGGTTTTATTGGCACTGAGTAGTCAGCTTGGTTTCCAGTACCAGGTCTGGTCTCCCTCTTGTTGGGTGGGGCCTAAAGTCACATACTACACATGTATGCATGCAAAAACATTTAATGAAAAAAGAGGTCATGGACTTGAAGGTGATCAGGGAGGAGCATATAGAAGGGTTTGGAGAGAGGAAATGGAAGGGGATATGATTAGATTAAAATCTCAAAAATTAAAATAATAATAATAGTAAAACATTTCATATATTTAGTTTGGTAAGTATATTTTCAGCTGGGTAAGCAAAATCCATGGCAGGCCACTAGTAAAGTTGAGGGTGGAAATCCTATCTTTTCTTCCTACCGTTCCTCAAGTCCTGCACTTACAAATTCTTCTATAAATAAGCCCCATGTAATTGCTAAGTTACCAAGAAGTTAAATTGCTCTGTCTAGACAGAGAGGATTGATTTGGTCGGCGTGAGTCAGGCTGATGAAGCTAAAGTCCAGGATCCATGCGCGAGCGATAATGACAGTGCCTGACTCGCAGCCTGCTCCATAATCTACGGCCTGTTTTAGCAGGTCGGGGGGCACTAGCTGAACCTTTGCAGCAAGAGGGTCTTAGAATTAGGAGAATGCAAAGCTGGAAGGATATATTGCGCTCAGAGGGTTTCTGGCTTCCGTGGAGTTTTCAGAAGGTTTCCTCGTTGATAAGAAGGTGAGTAGCCCAGATTTCTGCGAAAAAAAAAAAAAAAAAAAAAAGTCTTCGAGTGCAAGGTAGCCAGGAAGGGGAAGGAGTGAGCCAGCGAATAAAAGCAGTAAGGAGGTGAAACACTGAGCTGGGCTCCCCCTGGTCTAAGCCCAGATACTTGCCAGCTGCCCAGGCTGGTCTCCAGGCCGCCCTCTGGGTTCCAGATGTCAGCCCTCCTGTCAGGGCACCGGGGAGTTGCTGGGGAGTAGGGAGGGGCAAGAACTTTTATCCCATACCTCCACGTCAAGATTTTGTTTCATCAGGTGTTTGCCCCTTGTCGTGGTTAATTTTACACATCGGAATGTGTGATTAAATCCGAGATAACAGTTGGTCTCCAGAGTGGAGCTGCACTACCAGCTGCCCTGGGTCCCAGGGTGTTTCAAAATGCCTCACATTACAGATTTTAGGCCTGCCAGCCTCCATTATATGCACATGTATGTAAACATAGCATACATGTATGTGCACGTTATATCTGCATATATGGTAAACCTGAGTGTATGTATGTATGGTGCATAGATGCACAGAGTTTTGATGCATTTTTTGCTGCTGTAACAGACTACCTGAAAACCGGGCAATTTAGAGAGAACAGAGAGTAGTTTGGCTTATGATTCTGGAAGCTAGAAAAAGCAAGCGCTCATGGTTGGCCTCTGGCAAGGGCCTCTGTGCTTCGTCATCCCTGGCAGAGGGCAGAGTGACAGAGAGTGCGAGTAAGAGACAAATGAAGACAAATCCATTCTTGGAACAACCAAGCAGCTCCCATGATCGTGACATTAATCCATTGTTTCTTACTCGACTCAGCCTCCCAACACTGGTCGGCTTAGATTAAGCCTCCAACACATGGGTTCTGAGGCAGGTACTCAAGTCATAGCACGCGATTGGCTCTGTTTCCCCACAGAGCCTTAACTGACACTCCCCATACTTCCACACTGCTCCTGTGAGATTCCATGTCGTCTTCTCATCCATATCCACAGGGTGGCCATCGACGGCCATGAGGCAGGCACTGTGAGGGGTCACCGTCTGGTAGCCAACCGGAGGAAACCAGACGGAGCAAGTAAGCAACAGCAGCAGTACACACAGGTCAGGTCCGAGGAGAGACCTGATGTGAGATATGCCGAAACCAGCTTCTAGACCCGCCAACAACAGCCCAGGGGGTAACATAAGAGATGTGTGCTCATTTGCGATGAGTAAGGTTGTACATAGTCCCTGTTAAGTTCACGGCTTCATGTTCTTATCTGGAGGCAAAACATCGTGAAAACCTAACCAGCTCTTGGCTGATTGATGTTTAAAATCAGAACATTGGATTAAATGTGCAAGCTCTCTCTATACTTTAAATGACAAATTCGAAAGTTTTAATTATTTCTTTAATATAAATAACAGGCCGAAATGAATCCGGCAAAATTCGGCATAACTGAAAGATAAGCATCACGTTTATACCCTACTGACTCCACAGGTGCAGAGGAAAAGAGCCATTTGAGCTAAACGACACCAGCGTCCCCTGGAGATCGCTGTTGACCTCAAAGTAAACAGAGTGAATCACTGACTAAGAAAGTCGTGCTTGTTGGAGCTCCTTCACCAGAAGAGAGATGAGGGAAAGCCACTCATGAGGCCTCTGAGGATCTACTGAAGCCCACAAGCTTCATCCCTGTGCTCTTGCCCATTGGTCTTCACCTTGGCCCAGGGAGTACAGGTAGATCATGGCACAGGGCACATTCAGTAAAAGGTCAAGTGGCTCTATAAGGCCTTAATGGGGTCTGTGAATGGTATGAGGTCCTTCTTAGAGCCCCTTGGCCTTGCCTTACTCCCCCCCCCCACCCTCCAAAGCAATTGTCCTGGGTCACAACCCCACTGCCTCCTGACGCACAAAGTCACCTAAACACAAAGCCCATAGCCAGGAGGCAGCTTCTGGAACTCTCGCTCTCTCAGCTCCTCAAGAGTTATGGGCATTAATCGGTGGTCCCCTGGAGCACGCTGCCACTCTGCTGACTGGAACCAAATCCATCTTGAAGTTGGAAATATGCCCCAGTGGGGGACAGACTGTGATTTAATGCCATCCAAGTCCTACAGGGCACACTCCTTAAAGAAACCATTGTAAATTATTTGTGGCTAATTCTGCTGGTGGACGGAGGGCATGGTGTGTTCTGAAGTACAAGAGCCCAGCTTGTATTTAATAATTGTTATATCTCCTCCGAAATTTACTGCCAATGTCTCAATTTTAACAATTTAAATAACAAGCTTAACCAAGTGGAACGAGGCTCAGGCAGGCTGGTGCTCGGGATGAAGGCAGGACAACTCGTGTCTCAGCGAATTTTCGCTTTGACGTGAGCGGTGACACACAGAGATGAAATCTGGTTAAGGCGGCAGCTTTGGCAACCCCGTGACAGCCTCTTAGACTCAGCAAAGCGATTTCAAGAGAGTGCGCACATATACTTGTTAACTTTACTTAAGAAGACTGCTTAGCGACAACACTTATGAATATGCTAATCAGAGGTGCGAACCAGAAGGTACACTGTAGAGCGGGGTAATGGGCGCCGCTGTTTTAATGGACGGCTTGATCGTCTTAATCTTTGCCTGCACCTGTGGGTTTAGGAACTGGAGGGATCTGTCGCAGGTCCCGAGGATGAATGACCACGGAACGCTTCTGTCACACCTGTGAGTTGATGTAGCGATGCTATGTGGTCAGTTCTGAACCCCTTTAGACTATTCTCCCTTGCCGGTACCGCCATGTCACACAGTGCTCCATGCCCGAGTTTAATAATGCAAACAAGGCCAATTCTGAAAGACCTGTGCCACCGGCAGCTATAACCTCTCTCCAGTTTCAAAGTTGCAAAAGCAAAGAGACCAGCCTGTGAGCCAAAAACCTTGGGGAAAGTCACTTCTGTTCATCCCCGCTTCCTCCTGAGCCAGGGACTAAATGTATGATGTCAAGGGCATCTAGCCCAGCTACTTTATAGTCTTGTGCTTTGACCTACGAGCACCTTAGACTAACTCAAATTCACTTGCATTACCTTAATTAAATAATGAAAATCTTAATTGGATACAGCCACTCTATCAGTTTGGCAATTTCTTAAACCGTTAAGCATACATCTGCATATGACCTAAATGTTACCCAAAGAAAATGAATATGAAAATGTGCACAGCCCCTTGGACACAGATATTCACACCAGCTTCGTTTCTAATAGCCTCAAGGTGGAAACAACCCAGAGAGCCATCACTGTAAGAACAGATGGACAGGGTGTGCTCCAGCTGTACAAGAGTCGGCACATTTGGCAACACAAACAACTCTCATAATACATATGCTGAGTGAAAGAAGGCAGACAAAGAAGATGTATTGCATATTGCCACTTACACAAGACGCCATAAGCAAACCAATCCCTAGTGACAGTCAGTAGGTCAGAATATAGTAGGAACACCCCTTGAGGTACAGGAGGGTGAGCCATCAGGAGGGAGGAGGTTGCAATGGGGCCCAAGGTTCACACTCCCATAGTGGTAATGGTCTCATTGAAGCACGTCTGTGTCAAAGCTTATCAAGTTTAAAAAGTCTAACATGTTCAGCCATTTTCACTGCTATCTTATTCATAATAGTCAAACATTAGAAACAAACTAGATGCCAGTGGGCGAATGGGCAAAGAAAATGTGTTACATTCACGTAATGAAATATTACCCGGTTGTTAAAAAAAATTCAATTATAATGAGTAGCCAGGCAGTGGTGGCACATGCCTTTAATCTGAGCACTCAGGAGACAGAGGAAGGCAGATCTCTGTGAGTTTGAGGCCAGCCTGGTCTACAAGAGCTAGTTCCAGAACAGGCTCCAAAACTTCAGCAAAACCCTGTCTCAAAAAAAAAAATTAAATTATAGAATTTGCAGGTAGGAAAATGGATGGAACTAGAAAAAAAAATCATCCTAAGTGAGGCAAGCCAGACCCAAAAAGACAAATATGGTATGTATTCACTTACATGTGGGTGTTAGCTGTCAAATTTTTGATAAGCAAGCTACATTCCATATAACTTCAGAGGTTAGGTATAAAGTAAGGGCCTAGGGGGAGAATTGGACTTCCCTAGGAAGGGAAAATAGATATATAGTTATGGATGGATAGGGGTGGGGCTGAGATGGGAGGATCAAATAGGGAGGGAAAGGGTAAGGAAGACACAGCTAAAATTTAGAGCCATTTGAAGAATAGTATAGAAACATAATACAGCAGAAACTTCCTAAAATATCTACATATATGAAGACAATCTAAGCAGAATCACCAAAGAACAGAGAGACAGAACCCCAACTGGATATTTCTTGTCACCAAATGAAGTCTCCAGTTCCATGAATCTATTATATCTAATTGAGTTGTTGGCCAAAGGGGTTCATTCAATGGGAACCCCAAAACCACAAGGCTATTGCCAAGGCTATTAGTTGCTCTCCACACACTCATGGTAAGCCCCTATTGCTGAAGACAACATCTGCACAACTCAGTGAACATGGAGGAGTTGAGCAGGTGCTGCCTGGAGCCCTCACCCCACAGACTAGTGTTCAAGTACTGGAAGGTGCCCTTGCAGGCTTCCAAAGGAGAAAGGTAAACATCAACACATCTACAAACCCTTCTATCTACAGCGGTGACCTGCCTGCCAGATGAGCTATTACAAGGATGGCACAACGCTTGTGGGAGTAACCAAACAAAATCTGATTGACTCAAGGCCCACTCCATGAAATGGAACCATCCCCGACAAGAACCTGAGACTAGATAGGCCAGAGACACGGGGGAAAACCAAATGCTACTGTTCTGCTAAAGGAATGTAGCAATAAAATGACCCTAAAGACATTCTGCTCTACCCATAGATCAATGTCTTTCTCAGCCATCATCAGAGAGGCTTCCTGATACAGTAGACAGGGACAAATGCAGAGACCCCCACAGCTGGACAGTGTGCAGAGAGTGAGAGACCTTGAAACACTCCATCCTTGATGGGGTGTCTTCATCAATTCCCTCCCCTCAGGGCTCAAGAGACCCTGTGGAAGAGGAGGCAGAAGGATTGGAAGAGTCAGGAAGGTCAGGGACCACCACGGTCTTCTAAACATAGCAGGACCAAGACACACATGAACTCACAGAGACCTAATTTTTAGTAAACTTAAATACACACATAAACCTCAATTCTAAGAATGCATCACAAAAAAGCATAAGTATGTATTGGGGTATAGCATAAGATGTATTCGATACAGTACCAGAAACACAAAATAGTGGAAACAGCTTAAATGTCTGGGAGAAGAAGAGAGTTGATTAGGCAAAATGCAGCATCTCTGTGTGTGGCAATGAGATGTAACTATTGAAAGTCCTGGTGTAGAAGGCTAGAGAGACGGCTCAGTGGTTCAGAACACCTACTGCTCTTGTAGAGGACTTGGGTTTAGTTCCCAGAACCCACGTGGTGACTCACAACCACCCATTATTCCAGTACTAGAGGATCTGACCCCCTCTTCTGCCTTACCTCTGTCAATGTACACATATACGTCAACACATGCAGGCGAAGCAATGATACACATAAAATAAAATCTTATTTTTAAAGTCATACTGTAGACAAAATGTGGACGTGAAAAAATACCTGTAGATTAGAGCATCACTCAGCCATAATCAGAGAAGCTTCTTTTTTCAGTAGATGATGATTAACAGAGAAACCCAGAGCTATTTAACATGCAGACAATAAGAGACTGTGGACCACTTAGCGGTGAATAGGACATCTATGTCACACTGTCATCACCGAAGTCTCACAGATCATCTCTGAGAAGGAGGCAGAAAGACTGTAAGAGCCAGGGGTAGTGGGTGTCTACAGAGAAACAGTACTTGTCTGACATATTACACACATGAACTCACAGCAGCTGTGACCTACACGCACAAGACCAGCACAAGGTCAAGCCAACCAAAACCCCAGCATGAGGGAGGGTGGCTCATGAAGGTCCACCAATAGCTGATGAACTATTGGTGATGAATGTTGCTGGGAGGATGGGGGAGACAGTTTTCTTCAGGGATACAGTCCTCCGAGGCTACCCATGCTGCAGCAGATGGCCCTACACCTCTGCACATACAGGTAGCACTGGATGAACTCAATGGGTTTTTTTTTAATTTTTAAGTAAAACATGAAGCTGGGAGGGTAAAGTGGTAGGAAGGCAGGCGAGGAACTGGAAGAGAGGGAATGAGGGAATATGGATAGATTTGATCAAAACACATCATGTACATTATGACATCCTCAAACAATAAAAGAAACAGTTATTTTCCAAATGGGGGATGATGTCTTCCTGTATGGAATATCAAGATGATAAACAATATTTATTGTATGACAGTATAATATTTTTTAAAGTTTATGTTAGAGGCTGATAATTAGTCATCTTTTTCTCTTCACCTCAGAGTCAGAAACCAGTGGAGACACACTAACGATCTGGGCAGAGAGAGGACAAAGCACCACGTTGTTCTTGAGCATTCTGAATGGAAGTCTAAAGGTTTGAGCTATGCTTTTCTCCACTCTTTCCCGACTTCCTCTTGCTGACCACACACTGCAGCCAACCCAGGACTGATGGTGCTACCCTGGAGAGCTGATCCTGTGTAGTTTTCCCCTAGACAACCAGCAGGTTAGGTAGGGCTGTCTTCAAGTTTCAGAGTATTTATCATCCCTATTCCTACCCAATAGGAACCATAGTCTCCTCCAATTCTCACTACACAGAGGAAATGCCCCATCCATTCGTCAGAGAGTTGTTGGTTACAGCCACGGAATGCACACCACTAATGCCCTTAGGGTCGTCACACCACACTGATATTGTTACGTTTCTTACATGTCATAGCTAGGCAGGATTGTCCATTGCCTCCCTCCTTTGCAAGCTGGGATGGCACCTTCTGTTTAAGATGTTGTGGGAAGTCTAAACTCAAGACCCTCTTTGAATGTAAGGTTACCAAGAGTGTTTGTTCACAGAGGACTAAATCAATTCTATCTGTAGCTATCATACAGATACTATCCAAAGCTTGTGGGGGTAACCAACAAATATATTATTTGACTTAAGACCCCATCCATGAGATGGAACCCATACCTTACACTGCCTGGGCGACCACACCTGAGACTAGATCCAGAGAAAACGAAATACCACTGTTCTGCTAATAAACGACTCCTGGCAGCTTTAATAAAATGACCCAAACAACATTCTACTATACCCGTAGATCAGTGTCTTCTTGTGCAGTCGTTATCAGAGAAGCTTCCTCCTGCTATAGATGGAAATAGATACAGAGACCCACAGCTGGAAAATATGCAGAAAGCAAGAGGCCTTGGGACACTCAATCCTAAATGAGATGTCTCCATCAAATCCCTCCCCTCAAGGCTCAGGGAACTCTATGAAAGGGGAGGCAGAAAGAATGGAAGAGCCAGAGTGGGTATAGAACACCAAGAAAACAAGACCCTTTAAATCAACAGGGTCAGCATATATATATGAACTCACAGAGACTAAGACAGAATGCCCGGGACCTGCTCGGGTCTGCATCAGATGGGATCCCAGAGCTGAAAGAAGTGGACATATGCCCTTATCCCTAACCCAGAACCTATCTCCAACTGACAACCCCCTGCAAATGAAAATTTAGTTTCTTCTAATGAACGCTCACCGGGGTGTGGGGGAACCTACTCTTAATGGAAGACTGCACAACCAGCAGCAGATGGCCGACAGAAAACCAACTCAGTGGCATCTTTGGAGGCTCTTCGTCTTATGACGTCTTGTCTGGGCTTTTTCTTTTCAAAGGTTATCTTATTTTTAGTTTTATCTTATTATATATCTTCAATTTATTCATGTCTCTTTTTACTCAAGTCCTTGGCATTTATATACTGCAAAAGTGCCGTGTGTGTGCTGGTGGAGACCAGGACAGAGAGTCAGATAACTTGGAGTTGGAGTTACAGACAGCTGTGAGCTAACATGTGGGTGCTGGGAACCCAACCTGGGTTCTCTAGAAGAGCATGGAGTGCTCCTGACCACTGAGCTATCTCTCCAGTCAGAGCTTGGGAAGCGATGTTTAAAGCAACAATGATCCTGTTGGGCAAGCATTGTGCAACAAAGGGTACCAAAGACTGGAATCAGCATCCAGACTGGCTGGTGAGGGCCTTGAGCCAAAGTAGATCAGGAATGCATGGGTCCTGGGTTATGCTGGGAGCTCACAGAATCAGGATGCCTCCAAGATCCTTTACACAGAGGTAGAGTAAGAGGTAGATTTTGTATTGTGAGCCACTGTAAATATGTAAGTTCAAGCACTCCTTCCAGGGCCCAGTGGATATCAAAACCTGCAGATACAAGGTTCCCTATGGAAAACAGCATCTGACATTTTCCTGTGACCAGCACATATCCTCTCTTGTACTCTAAGTCATCTCTAAATTACTTGCATCTCCTATAAGATGGGCACTGCACAAATGTACTGGATTGCTGGGAAATAGTGAGGAGAAAAAGTCCATGTGTTGTGTACAGATGCTTTCTTTGATCAGTGGCTGGTTGAATTCAGCAATGGGAAACTCATCTCCAAGCTGATACAGACAGAAGCACATGCTGAAATCAGGTCCTGAGAACTCAGCCTGATGCAAACTGGAGACACAGTGTTATTCACAGGAAGAACAAATTCAAACAAGACCCCAGGACCCCAGGGAAGTGTAGTCCCTGTCACCAGGCATAGTGCTCTCCAATGTTCCCTGTGCTGTACTCTTCTTTTTGATCTCTGTGAAAAGTACCAAGTTGCTATCTGGGTGTGGTAGTGGTGTCTACAATCGCAGCTACTTGGAGGCTGGAGCCAGCCAGTCCAGCTGAGACCATCCTGTACAACGGTAAGACCTTGCCTCCAAAACCAAACTGTGCACCAACGAGATGGGCCTGTGAGTACAGACAGTTGCCACTGACCAGGAGTTAGATTTCCCTGGACCCGCATGGTGGAAAGAGAAACTGACTCCCCGAGGTCATTCTCTGACCTCCGTATAAGTGCCTCATACTCAAGCACCCCCTGATCCCATCCCACACCCAAAATAAATAAACAGATGTAAAAGGTAAACATACAAAGTAGCCAGTTGCAAGCCACTAACGTGAAATGACAACCGTTAAGAGATAGGAAACTTCAGCTTGGAAATCTCTCACCCAGGAACCCCTAGTTGCTGGGTTCTGAAAAGACTTTTGTGCACAAGCTGGCACAAGTGATTGGAACTTATTGAAACTTGTCAAGCAGGACAGAGACTTAGAGACATAAAAGACAAGCAGGCAAGCACTAGGGTCAGGCAGAGAAGGACCATCGGGCTAGCTGAGGCCATCTCAGAGCAGTAGGGAACGCCATGTTGGTGCAGAGCTATGGCCTGGTCTTGGCTCCAGGGCACACCCGGTCTCATTGTCCCTTCATACGAACCATTCTGCAGACCCAGGAAGATTTTGCAGCAGAGCCTAAGTTCATGGGCAATCACTTTGCTCCACTTTCAATCAGATTGGGAGGGAATGGGAGAGACAGGGTTGTTTAAGTGGCTGTGAAAAGCGCCCGCGTAACTTGGTAAATGAAAAATCTGCTCAGACCCAGAAGGAGCACAAAAGTGAGGAATTAAACAACTTTGTAAATAAAGGGATCATTACTCTCCATGCGCTAACACACACTTAAGACCTATTGAAAACTTCCCCGGTTAAAGATAAATGCAGACCGTCAGCAGCTCATTCCCCAGGCTGGATGGGCTGTTTTCAGAGCCCAGCACAGAGACCTGGAGGCCTAGGGCAGCCAGGGCCGGCTCAGGTGGCATGCCTAGGGACTCGAGAGGGGATCAGCAGCTGTTTCTGCTTTTGTAAGGACTGGAGGCTCAGCCTTGGTTTCTTCCCACAGGGAGGTGCCCAGGGCGCACCTGATGGTGGCGGGAGGAGGGATCTTCACCACTGCATTTACCTCCCCCCCCCAAGCTCCGTCATCCTTCTCCAAATAAGCATAATTGCTCCATGGTTAAGAGGTGCCGGGAACAGAGGCACCCCTGGAAATTGCCTAATGGGCAGAAGAAATGAGGTGTGTGGCACATGGGTGTGGAGAAGGCACTCGCCATGAGTTTATTAACATTGAAAATTAAAATAAGCTTGGCCCCAGCCAGGCAGTCTTGGCTGAAATGAATCCCATTATGCCTCTAATAACTGTGTGGGGCTCAATTTGATGCCACCCAGGGGGTAGAGAAGCCTCTGTAAGGGTGACCTCCCTGCCAGCTGTGGGATGCTGAAGATCTCTGCATCAGCAACCATCCTGGAGGAAGTAGCAACACCCGGCCTGCCTCGTGGGGCCTTCCGCTCCGGTTTAAACCCATGCAGCATTTGAACAGCTGCTGAGGGGAGGCTGGAGACAGTCACAGGTTGTTCTGACCTGGGGACATTCTGTAAATAATGGCTTGCTAGAATTTGCAAACGTTCATTGCCAGGACGATAGGTAGGAAGTTGGGGCCCTGCCTGAGACGAACCTACCAGTCCTGCCTCCTTTGGGGGCCTTGATCAGATCATGTCGTATTTCTCAGTGATAGAAGGAGAGCTGTCCCTGACCTCAGACTCATCCAACATAGGTAAGGAACAAGAACTCCGTGTAAAATACTCAGAAAGAACCCAGTGTTCAGCGTCTGCTCTGCCCGGAGCATCATGTAAAGGCAGAGAAAGGCAGGCTGGGGCTGTCAGGAGACATGAGCTCAGAAGGCCAGATGCCTGGGCAAAGGACAGGTGGAGGGACTATGAGCTTCAGCCCACTAGCTCACACGGGTGCTGGCAGGAATGGGAAGAAGGGCAGCCAGGAGGAGGGCAGGGCTTCTGTGGAGGACCAGTGGACAGTCAGCTGGGACATCCAGGGTCAGCAGCTCTGGGAACCTAGCTGGAGTTTGAATTCTAACTTAAGGGAACCCTTGGAGGGTTTGGAGAAGAAGATACACACCTTTAAAAGAATTTTATCTCTTTTCATTGGATTGGCTTTGTGTTTTAGAATGTGTTAAAAGGAGGCAAAAGCAGACTACAAGTGACTTGGTAGAGGAAATGGCAAAGGGTACCAGGGTTATTTCTGCCTTTGTAAAGACTGGAGCCTTTGCATTTAAATTCCCTTTCAATTGCACTAGCTTCTTGTTCCCTGCCATTCACTCGAAGCGAGCCTTCACCTCAGCTCTGCCCACATATTCCCATGACTTCAGATGACTTCCGTGTCCATGTTTCTCTCTCGGCCTTCCGGCCTCTGTCTCACCCTGTTCTCAGCAGCTGCCCTATGCCTCCTGACCTTCCTCCTTCACATCTGCCCTGTTCCTGGTCCTGCTCCCCACTGACTTTCAGAGCACTGACCTTTCCTACCCATCGGCCATCCTCGTTCTTGCCTCTGCCTTCTGAAGCAACATGCTTACGGCTTTTCCTCTCTGTCACTCCGCAGTCACAGAATCAAAAGCCTTTCTGGAGCTCACATTTTAGCTCTTGCCCACTTTCTCACTAGGAATCGAACTTGCCAGACAAGCAGGCTAGCTCAGGGTTATATTCTCAGCTCTCCCTGCTCCTCTTCGTAGAGCTCTCCTTCAGCGGCTCTGTCTACACTAACTGGTTGACCCCTCTCTCTCTCCTCCCCTTCCTGCTTTAACTGCCCACCCTAACAAATCTGTCTCCACTCCCATAGTGCCGGGTATGATAGGAAAGTCTCTGTTCTCTCCAGGCCCACACTCTTGAAGCTCCCTTCTCTGGGTCCCCAGGATTCTGCTCCTTCTCAGGCTCTATCTGGTTGCTTCTCTGTTTCAACCTCCCCAGGATGAGTCTTGGACCTCTCCTCTGTCTAAACTATATCCCTAGTTGATCTCCAACTCCTCTAGCTAAAGTAAGTCCCAACATTAAATCACCGGCCTCCAACACCCTCGACTCTGGGAGATCTCTGCAGGGATGTTAAGGCATCTCAAACTCAATAGCTTCAAAGACAGACTTCTGTGCCTACTCTACCTCCCATCCTCATCTACACACAAAATACCCAGTCAGTAGCCTTCTTAGTTACTGTCTTCTTCTCCCAGCCTTTCCGGAACTGGCCGTAGTCACTGATGCCTGTCATACCTTCACATCCCAGCCCCACTGACTCAATTTCCAAACTATATCTAGACTGAGATACCATCTTCCCACCTTCCTGGACGGCTGCAACAGCCTGACGACTTGTTGTGTGCCTTCGCCCTTGTTCTAATACAGGCTTTTCTCAACATAGTAGCCAGAACAAGGCTTTCAAAATAAAAGCCAAATGGTGCCACCTCTCTGCTCAAAACCCAGTGACTTCCCAGATGCCTCAAAATAAGAAGAGCTCAACATCCAAGCAGTATGGTGGCATATGGGAGGCTGAGGCAGGAGGACCACAATTTGAAGGCAGCCTACATGGTATGGGAATGATTCTGTCTTAAACAAACAAAATATCCAGCAGCCTCGTTGTTTCCCTCCAAAACAAAACTAATGGACCAGAACGTACAGTCACAACGGCCTGAAGAATTCTATATTTTTTGGCCCTGTCTGCCTCTTTGACCCACATCTACAGTTCCTTCCCTCCGCTCCCTCTGCTCAGCTACACTAGTCCCTTGTTGTGCCTCAAACGCACCATGTATCTGCCTCATGATCTGTGCTCCCTGTTCCTTCGGTTGGGAGTCCAGGCCCAGCTTCAGGTCACCTTATTCATCAGGTCTTCGTTATCCACTTTCTATGAACACACACTCACACACACACACACGCCAGGCCAGCAACCTCACCTCCTCCACCTTATTACTGCCTGCTTGTTAATGCAGATGTTTCAGGTTAAGATTGTCTCCTGGCTTGCCACTAGACCAGAGACCAGATTTAAGGAACGGACTTGGTTCTGCTCACTCCTATGTCAATACCCAAGTAAAATAAGAGCTCGATAAATATTTGTCAAGCAAACAGCATTCATTTGAATCTACTCTGAAAGCATCTGCCATCTGTGAGGAAACCTCAGAGCCTACCTCTGCTCCAGCTGTCCACAGTTAAGTGGCGCATGCCAGGCTCTCATTGGTCCCATGGATGCTGCTGTGCAAACCACTCTGAACACACAGTGTTGCTGGCATCTGCCTTCCCTCCACCCTCAAGTCCCTCAGGTCCACCAAGATGAGGTTATCTCTGCCCTCTCATCCCTTGCCTAGGGAAGGCATGGTCTGATGCCAGCTGCTGCCTCATTGCCTCCCTCCAAAACAAAATTAACAGACCATAAGCCACGCTCCCCACCATCAGCTGGGAGAGGGTATGGCTGGGACATCAGATCTCGGCTCTTCTGTGTTCTTACTATGAGATTTTAGCCAAGTGTTTTTTAAATCCCTCTGATCTAAGGGGTGTGTGTGTATTTAATGTATTCTTATATGTGTGCATGTAAATATGTATGTACCCGTATCTTTGTGCATGTGAAGGCTAGTTGGCAGTGTTGGGTGTCCTCAGTTGTAGCCCACCTTGTTTCTTTGAGGCAGGGTCTCTCACCGAACCTGGAGTTCACCAATTGGCTAGACTGGCTGGCCAGCCAGTTCCAGAGATTTGCCTGCCTACAGTTCCCTCTCGATTCCTCAGTGCTGAGGTTCCAAAGGTGCACAGCTGGGAACCTGTTCCCCTTGATGGATTGCTCAGCCTTTATGGGGGGGGGGGGGTGACTCAGGCCTACCTCAACTTGATGTGCCATGCTCTGTTCAAGCCTCTTTCTAAATGGAGATGAAGGAGGAGTGGGAGGATTGAGGAGGGGGGGTAAATGGGAGTCAGGAGAGGGAACAGGAGAGGAGAGAAGGGAAACTGGTCAGGAGAATAAAGAGGAAAATGTTAATTTAAAAAAAAAGAAAAAACCACAGGTGCACTGTTGTGCCAAGTTGTTAGTGGGTGCTGAGGACCCCCACTTGTACGCGGGCACGTTCCTGACTGATCCATTTCATCATGTTGTTGTTGCTGTTGCCATTGTCGACAACAATTCTCTAATGGGGACATCGTGTGGAATGGGCAGTGCTTGGCAGAGTACCTGTTAATAAACATCATATTCGCTTTTCCTCCTTTCAGAAGATGACCTTAGTATCGCTCTGAGATGACCTTTAACCTGAGAGCTAGTCCTGTTCCCAGAGATGCTCGATCAAGAATGAGCACAGATAAGGAAGGCCCTTGGGTTGTTTAGAGCTGTTTAAGCCCTCCACCTTCCTCTCCCTCCTCCTTTCTCACCTAAGCCCACAGAGAGACGGGCTGCCCTTGGCGCCGCGCGCACGCGCGCGCACACACACACACATATGCACACACACATGCACGCACACACATACACACACATGCACACACATGGGCGCACATGCACACACACGTGCACACACACGCACCATCTTCCATTTACAGCACTCCTTTTCCATCCTGCAAGGGTGGTGAGCTGGATTAGGAAAATGACAAGCTGTTACAAATATACTGCATGCTGTAAAATAAAAAGGATGCCCTCGTTGAAAAGCCAAACGACTTAACTTCAAATGATGAGAGGAGGGTGTCACAGGCAGAATGGCCACATCACGCTTTGATCAAAGCCTTTAGCTGTGCGTGTGGTTCTGCCGCATCTTTATGTGTGGGTGCTGGCAGGGATCTCTAAAGGGGCTGCTCTCCGCAGTATTCTCCATTACTCGGGGCTCTGTCGATTGGGGTTCATCTTTAACAGTCCAGACTTGGAGCATATTCAGCCCCAGTCTCTGCTGAGGAGAGTGGCAGCGAGCGCTAGTAATTATCCAACCGGTTCCAGTAATTAGTCGATGTTTGACGAATGCCAGTGTTTCCTGGAACTTTCAGCCCAGCAGCTTCCCTGCGAACTTTCCAAAACACATGGGGTCGGAGGGTAGAGAAAGGGCAGTCCACTGAAGCTGCTTGTCTGTCTACCTCTCCTCCAATGCATTCTTATAAATACGTGCAATTCGCATGAATTCTACCACCTTCCCTGTCTGTCTAAGGTAAATAATAACAATGATAGATAATCATAATAAATCCGCTAAAATAAAATTGGCTAAACCTCCAGACACCCTGAGAAGCTCAGTTTGCATCTTATTTCATATTTCTCTCCAAACAGGATGGCTAAGGCCATGGGCCTCTGGTTGGTTGGTGCTGAAGTTCAGCTTTCCTTGGTCCCTGAGTGGCTTCTCACCCACAACAAAGGCAGGAAAGACCAATGAGTAATCCATTATGGTGGCTCTGGCTGCACCCAGGCTCCTGCAGACCTGCTGTGGATGAGGCTGACTCTGAAGAACTGGGTCCAGCGTGAATGGACCAGCCTCTCCCGGGTTACTTCTCTTGGTACTTTACCATAAGAAACAGTCTTGGTATTTTCGTTCATATTACTTTATGACAATGCTCATAAAACTCTTGAGAGATTTCCTTTTCCTTCCTGGGCTGTGACTTATATCTTCTTAAACAATCAGAGCAGGATGAACCTGGAGTTTGCTTTACAGTAACTACAGGACAAGCATCAGAGGTTAAGTGTTCCTTTGTGAACTTGGGATTCTGACAGGTGCACCTCAGAGGTCCTGGGGCCATCCCCTCAGTGTGCTCACACAGGCCCTGGGCCATCCCCTCAGCAGGTTCACACAGGCCCTGGGCCATCCCCCTCAGCAGGCTCACACAGGCCCTGGGCCATCCCCTCAGAATGCTCACAGAGGCACTGGCCTAGGAGAGGGTATGGAGTACCTGAGGCGGTCCGCTTTGCCACAGTGGCCCACTATCAGTCATCAAACTAACGGGTCTCCCTTGGAGACATTACAGACTTACACAAGGCTCACTCGGGTTCTAATCCAAGTTACCAAGTGTGTTTCACTGAGTGTCCATGAAGGGCCCATTCTGCTCACTCTGGATCTGCCCTGTGCCAGAATGTGGGGGAAGGCAGTGATTATGGGGGACCTCACTACAACCATCACACTGTGTATTCTGTGACCAGAGAAGCCCTATACTTGTTAGAAGGTCAGAGTTTGAATCCAGCTCCCCCCCCCACTTACTTCTTGAAGCCTTAGTTTACTGCCAATAAAAATAAAAAGACTCTACCTACCTAGCTACTTCTTACGGTTCAGCAAATATGTTGGTGTGCTCTGAAAAAAATCATAGAACACTATAGAAAGAATAAATGCTCAAAACTCAAAATAATTGACAGCAGGACTTGAGCAGATGCTCATAGCATTTCTGTCACAGCAACACCAGTCCCAGACCCCAAAGGTCAAAACAACTTTCATGTCCATCAGCAGGTGGATAAACAAAGTGTAGCACACACTTACCATGGAATATTGCCCAGTTCTCAAAAAGAACAGGAGTCAATAAACTTTGAAAACATCCAGCTGATGAAACCTACCAGGCACAAGGGCATAAGTGTCCTGTGGTTTCACATAGAGTCCGTACCTAGACTCACCCAGTTCCAGATTCAGAAGAGGAATAGAAGTTACTGGTAGAATGGCGGGAGCTTTGGGAGAGGACTGGTAGGTATGCAAAGCTTCCATTTACACTGCTGAAAAAGTTTCATCGTGTATAGTGGCACACACCTGAAATCACAACACTCATGGCCAGCCTGGAGTACGTAGAGAGTTCCAGACTAGCCTGGGTTATATAGTAAGACTATATCCAAATAAATGATGGAAAGATGGATAGTAATGCTGATTGCACACAAGGGGTGTGTGTGTGTGTGTGTGTGTGTGTGTGTGTGTGTGTGTGTGTGTGTGTGTGATGCCTCTAAGCAATGCATTAAAAAACAACGTGGAAACCGGGTGTGGCAGCACACACCTCTAATCCCACCTTTAATCCTAGCATTCCGGAGGCAGGGGCAGATGGATCTTTGAGTTCAAGGCCAACCTGGTCTACAGAGTGAGTTCCAGGACAGCCAAGGACACACAGAGAAAGCCTGTCCTGGAAAAACAAACAACAACAACAAAAGGATGTGAAATATGTCAAGGTGGAAGAGACTGTGGTCACAATTTTTCATTGAGGATCTCTTAGCCCACATCAGTTTGACGTGTTTCCACTCTTTGGGTGGCCTTGGGTTCCTTGCCAAGTGTTCAACACAGTGGGAACTGGCCCTCCTCTTCATGGGCAGGCCAGACTGGCCAGGAACCAGGTCTGTGGGGAAAGCCAGTCTCTAAATCACCCCGAGTCAGTTCCATCTCCTGCAAGCATTCTGTTGGCAAGTACTCCTGGGCTATATCAGGCCAGCCAAAGGCTGGCAGCGAATGCTCCATGAGGACAAGGAAACTGGTTTTAGGGGCACAACGGGAAGAGGGTGCATTCTTTCCCTCAGGACTTGGACCCTGGAGAGCTGTCCCGAGTCTACTGCTCACATCAGTGGGAAATGCACCGAAAGCGTGTGTCCAGGAGGCCCAGAATCCTCCATGGTAGCTTCTACTCCCCTGGTGTCAGCCGGTCCCTCGTTCCATCTTCCCACCACGGCAAACAGCGTTCCTCCTTTCTGATCCAAACCCTCTCAGATCTGTTGTCAGCTGCTCAAGTTGGTGGCATTTGAGAGTATGGGCTGGGGGATTCCTTCGTGTGACTCTTGGATCCAGTTTCCATTGAAGGGTTGATGCATCAGAAGAATAGTAGCCCCTTCCTCATCGAATTTTAAGGGGCGGATGCCTCCCGAAGCATCCCCCAAAAGCCTTGCAGCTGCTGCCCTCCATCGTTTCCAGTGTCTCAGCATATGCGTGGCTAAGAAAAAGCTGCACGCTCCCTGCTCCCTCTTCCGGGCAGCTGAACTGCCAGTACAAAGCAAGGCAACCCCACCCAGTGACTGATGTGCAGACAATGTGAGCAAAGTCTGGCCTCTTCGCTCTTCTTCTGCCCTGTATGCCAGTAATTGCCCCAGCACCCATGACAAATCTCAGGTAAATCTCAGGCTGAAAGCTCAAAATGGACTTTGGCTATTTCTCTCCCTGGCAGGCTCTTGTGGAATGAAGGATTGCTAACAGTGAACATGTCTCCATGGAAATCCACCTGGCAGGGGTCAGGCATGAAGACCCGGGGGTCAATTTTACCTTAAGCAGATCTGATCTACAGATAAACAGGAAGAACCATGGTTTTGAACCCGGCTGGCTTCTTAATCCTCTCTAAATACACACATCACTTATTGCAAATTCTTGGCCTCTACTGGAATTCACCAGAAGAAATCAATTTATGGAAGCAGTGGTTTCTTTCCTTGCGTGTCTTCTACTAAGGAAGCACATTGTACAACTAGCAAGATTGATGGTAGTAATATTAAGTCCATGGTAATCCAAGCTAATTCCATCAAGGCCTGGCAAGGCAGGCTGGAGGAGATTAAGGTAAAGCCATGGGACTCAGGAGGCCGTCAGTGGGTTTGCTCCAAGGAACCTTCAACGTGAAGCATGTGGTCTTGGGAGATGACCCAGCCTGTGGTCAAATCCCAGCCCTTCTGTCATGTCATCCTGAGTCTGAGCTGACCATTTCCTAAATCATAAAATGGCATAATAAGGTTTGATGGGGGAATTAAAGGAGGAAAAATACATCAAAGCAGGGCACTCAGCATGAAAGAAGTTTAATAAACACTAAGTCCCATCTCTCCTCCTTACAGCCACAAAATAAGCATAGGCTGCTATGCAGGGTTTTGTCCAGTAACTCCTACCTCAACCCTATGTTGTCAGATAATTTTGCATAAGTGACTTAAGAGTCTGCTCTTTCGGTGTAACCTGAAGTCACACAGGCAGGTGAACACCTAAGAAATAAACTCCCCATTGCCATGGTCTCTGTATGCATTACAAGATCAAGGAAGATTCAACAACAAAGCCTCAGCCTCTGGGAACAGCGCTGTGCTTGGGTCATCCATGAACTCGCGGGAAGGAAAGATGGCATAGCAGGAGTTTCGGGGGAAGAGAGGTTACGTGCCTCCCCTTGACCTCCAGCAGGATGGTCCATCCCTTCTTAACAGCATAGCACGGGGACTCTGGAGATGGGAAGGTGGCCCAGTGTCAGCAGAATGGGTTTCTTAGGGAGGGGAACATCTTCAGGATGTCCTTTCCCTCCCCTTGCCCTTCTGCCGCCTCCTGGAAGATTAGACCTCCCAAGTGCCAATTGTTTGCCTTCCAAGCTGCCGTCCCATTTGAACCCCCCCATAATGACAGCAATGGAATGAGGGGTACCCAGGATTACGATTCGCAGGTGTTAAAGATGCAGCGAGTCATTTGAGCCCCTCAGGCCAGTGGATTCGCTCCATCTGCACATGCAATTCAGCCGAGACCAGGGTTTTCTAACGCGTCGTTTCCCCAAAATGTCCTTCTCCTTTTTTAGATACTAAAGAAAGATAGAAAAAAAAAGAAAGAAAGAAAAAAAACCACAGTGTTTCCATCACATTATTAGAACCAAAAATAGCTCTTTTAATCTCTAGCCCATATCATGCCACATTACAAATACATTTTGCTCACCAACCTTAAAGGTTGCTGTGCCTCCCCCTTGCCTTATCTGCTTTCATTATACAAGATTTCCACTTATTCCGTATTTTGTTCTCATTAGAACACTGCACGTCACATGTTTTCACCAGAGACATTCATCAGCAAGGTCAAAGGGTGAATATCGTGATCTATAATGCTGAGAGGAATCTAATGAAAAGCCACATAATTATCCAATTTAAAGAGAAGCATGTAAAAAAGAAGGGGAGCGCTTGCCATAATTTAAATTGTTTTGTTTCCCTGAAGCAAAATTCAGCACCTGATTGACAGGACCTAATGATAATTCTTATTGATATGGTGATGTTAATTGTGGGGAGATATTTAATAAGCCCCGTCTTCGGGAGGGAAGTGTGTGCTTTTAACCTGCACCTGAACCTGCTTCTCGGCGCAGCGCGGGGATGAGGTGCAGATTCAGATAAGTGAGCACAAGTGGATTTTCAGTCTTGTGTGGCAGAATGGAAATTGGAATCTTCAGAATCTATTAGGAGAACAATTCCACAGTTGCTCACACTTTTATAAATTATACTGTATATTACAGACAGACACAAAGTCAGGGGAGTCGCGGAAAGAGGGAGTTGATGTGACTTGGCAGAGAAGTTCCTGGGTGAGGGGGACAGTGGTGGAGCTCTCGGTCAAACACACAATGCACACACCCTGCACATGCGTGTGCACACACACACATGCACACACACATACACACACACACACACACATGCACACACAGGGGCAGGGTAGGGGGAGATAAAGAGGAAAGAAGGGGGAGGGAGGCAGACAGATAGACAGACAGAGAGAACAAACATGATCTGCATTCATTCATTGTCTTCAAACAAAACACAGAGATGAACTCTATCTCCTGAATCAATCTTCACCTATACCTGGGTGGCACTGATCT